TTCACCATTGAATATGATATTTTGGTGGATTTTTCAGCATAGTTTTTGTTATACTGAAGCAATTTCCTTCTCTTTCTGGTTTCTTACATGTTTTTTAATCATAAAAAGATGTTGAATTTTTCAAGTGCTTTTTCTGCACTGATTATCATGATCCTGTGGGTTTTGTTTTCTCTTTATTCTGTTAATGTGCTGCATTACTTGATCCATTTTTTTATATGTTGAACCATCCTTGCATTCCAGGAGTAAATCCCACTTACTCATCCATCCATTTACCTTTCGTGTGTGTGTGTGTGTGTGTGTGTGTGTGTGTATACATTTAAAGAAGATATCTTGCAGGCAATATAAAGGTGGTTGTTGCATTAATCAACTCTAAAAATATTTTAATTGGTACATTTAGACCATTGCTTAAAGTAACAGTTGATAGATTCATATGTACCATGCTTGTTACTGTTTTCTATTTCTCCCTGTTCTTTGTTTCATTTTGACCTTTTACTCTTTCTCTGCCATATGGTTTTATTAAACATGTTTTATAATTCAACTCCCTCTCCGAGAAAGTCTATATTTTGCCTCACATGTGAAGGATAATTTCACAAGGTGCAGAATTTTAAGTTGATGTTTTTTCCCTAAACACTTTAAATATTTCCCTCTACTCTTTTCTTGTTTGCATGGCTTCTGAGAAGTCACATGTAATTCTTTTTGCTCTTCCAGAGGTAAGGTGTATTTTTCCTCTGGTTTTTGTCAAGAATCTTCTTTATCCTTGATTTTCTATTGTTTGAAAATGATATCCTTAGGTGTAAATTTAGGGATATTCATCCTGGTTAGTGTTTTTTGGGCTGCTGTCCAACCTCAATCTGTGGCTTGGTGTCCACACTAAATTCTAGGAAATGCTCAGAAATTATTTCTAATATTTTTTCTTTTCATGTCTCTCCTCTGATATTTCCAATTCATATGTGTCACCACTTTTGTACTTCTCTGCAGTTCTTGAATATTAAGTTCTTTTTCTTTTAGTCTTTTACCTTTGCTTCTAAGTTTTGGAGTTTTCTATTGAGATTTTCTCAAGCTCAGAGATTCTTCCCTCAGCCATGTTTAGTCTACTTCTAAGCTCATCAAAACCACTCTTTATTTCTGTTATAATGCTTTTGATCTCTAGAATTTCTTTTTGTTTCTTTTTCTTAGCATTTCCATCTCTTTGCTTACATAGCTCTTCTATTTTTGCAGGATGTCTACTTTACCCATTAGAGCCTTTGGCACATTAACAACAGTCCTTTTGAATTCCTAGACTGGTAATTTCAACACCCTTCCCATATCTGTGTCTGGTTCTGATACTTGTTTAGTCTCTTCACACTGGTTTTGTTGTTGTTGTTGCTTTGTTGTGTTTTTATTTTGTTTTGGTTTTGGTTTTGCCATTTAGTATGCCTTGTAATGTTTTTGTTTTTAAATAACCAGACATGATGTTTGGTCAAGTAAAGGGAACTGCCCTAGGCAGGCCATTAGAGATGTGGCAGTAAGGCGTAGGGGAAGGGGAAATGTTCTACAACCCTATGACTAGGAGTCAGTTGTTTAGTGAGCTTGTGCTTCTGAACTGTGAACTTCACAAGTATTTGTCACTGTCTCCACCCCTGGTAGGTGGCTGGAGTTGGTTGGAGTTAGCTACCTCTCTTCCTTTGAGTCAGTCAGTTAGGCACTAACAAAACCCCAACAGGATAGGATCTGGCTAACTAGTTTCACCTGATGGCAGACCTTGTTAAGAATATAAATCTCTGACGTATTTTGAGATAGTTCCTGCTGCTGCCTAAAGCAGATATGGGGTTTTCTCTAATAGTCACTGCAGAAAACTGGGAGAGCTCCAGGCATGACCTCACAGAATTGGGGTTCCAGCTGATGAATGGTCCTCTGTAGTTTTTGCCTTTCAAACTTGTCTACAGTGAGCCTCTAGCAACTTGTCAATTATAGTTTGGATTCTCCTCTGGTTCCCATGGAGGTTTCTACTCATAGGTTTCTATTCTGATGAGTGATAACTCTCTCCATTCACCTTTTTAGCTCTCCAGATCTGCAGGGCCAACAGTTTGCCTTTAAACCTCAGTTCTTTTAGAGTTCTGAGAAGAGTTGTTAATTTTTTACTTTGCTCAGCTTTTTTACTTGTTGGAATGGAATGACAACTTCCAAGCTTCCTACATGCCAGACCAGAAACTAGAAACCACTGTTTTTTCAAAAACAATTTAAAAAATCCATCAAATGAATAAAGTGTTGTATATCCATACAAAGTAATAATATTTAGCAATAAAAAGGAATGGAGTACTGATACATGGTACAACACTGATAAACCTCAAAGATGTTAAGCACAAGAAGCCAGGTGCAGAAAAATACACATTGCATGATTCCATTTATATGAAATGTTCAGAAAAGACAAATCTCTGGAGACAGGAAGCAAATTAGTGGTTTCTTGGGGATTGAGGTGAAATGATGACTGACCAGAAATTGTCACAAAGGATCTTACCGGATGACAGAAAAGTTCTAAAACTAGATTGTGGTAATGGTTATATGATTCATTAATTTACTGAAAAATGTGTCACCTCAATAAAGTTAATTTTTAATAAGAATAAAGATTTATTTGGAAAATGTGAAAAAGTTTTAAAATAAAGGAAGCAAGGTCTCCTTGTATTCTTAATGACAGTAACTTCAACTCTTCCTCTTCATCCTACTCTTCATTTACTGAGTCGAAGAATCTCTGCATTCCTGCAAAAACCTTCATTGTTTATTTGAAAAATATCTCATTTCCCACATCATTGCATTTTTCCTGTTGCATGGGTATAGTATAGTTTCTTTTTTTTTTAATTGGACAATTCTAGATCTCCTATTCCATACTTAACCTTTGTGCCCATTTTTGGAGCGAATTTCTAGAAATCAAATAATTGAGTCAAAGACATGAACTTTTAAGATAGTTCTTGTGCATTACTAGTGGCTGTTAGCAAAAGCAGGGTTATAGAGGCTCTTTCCACTAACAGTTGAGCAAGTGTCTGTTTCTCAACACCTTCATCAAAGTTAGGTGTGATGATTTGTTTTACATTCTTGCCAATTATGGGAGAAAATGGTATTTCATTGTTGATTTAAATTGACTCTAATTATTAGGGAGGTTGCACAGACTTTTATTCATTAATAGCTTATTTGCTATTATTTTATTGTGTGAAGTGGCTATCCATTTCCTTTGCCAATTTTTCTACTGGAGTGTTTGTCTTTTTGTTGAGTTTAAGTATTTTTTTATAAAATAAAAGCATCAACGTTTGACTGCTGTGTATGTTACAAATACTTTTTTTCAAGACTGTTGTTTGGTATTTAATGTTCTCTGTGGTGGTTTTGATGGATAGAAGTTTTATGTTATTCCTATGGAGCTAACAGTCTTTCTCCCACAACTCCTGACTTTGCTGATGTCCTTAGAAAGGCCTCTTCCACTCAAATATTGTACTATACTCACCTACATTTTCTCTTGTATAGTTTTATAATCTCTTTTCCCTTTCCCTTGTTTTCTTGCTATTTAACCTTCATTTCATCTGGAATTTATTTTAATGCATGGATTAAGATTGGAGTCTCACTTAAATTTCACCCAAATAATTGAATAATTATCAGAGCACAGTTAATGAATTCATCCTTTCCCTATTGACAGGAAGTACGCACCTTTATTATGTTTTAAATACTTAACTCTAGTTGAGTCTCTCTCAAAGGACTTTTGTCTCATTCTGTTGATCTGTATTTTCACATACTTTTACAATGTGGCTTTAATTATTTTTGTTTAATGATGTGTTTTAAAATCTAGCAGTACAAATCATCTTTCATCATTCTTTTACAGACATATTTTGGTCATTATCTTATGTTTTGTGTTCCAGATACATTTTAGAGTCATTTTGTCAAGTAAAAGAAAAATCTTTCCATGATTCTGATTGGAATTGAATTAAACTAAAAAATTAATTTGTAGAAAATTGACATTTGACCCATACTATGCAGAAATACATGTATCCTCATTTAAGTATGTGTTTGGACCTCTTGCTTAGGCTGTTTCTATTTGTCTTTGTCATTTTAAAGAAACTGGAATTGCACACTGCTTATTTGGTTTATTGTTTGCTATTAAATTTTTTGCTGATATTATAAAGGAAATCCATTTTCTATTATGTTTTACTACTGGTTGTCATTGATACAAAGAAATACTATTAATTTGTGCTCACCAGTCACTTCACTTAACTCTCCTACTATCTCTTACTTGTTCTCATGGCTAAGGATTCTTTTAAGGGCTTTTGGGGGGAGATATTTATATTTGCAAGTAAGGATTATTCTTTTCCAAAAGTTATGCCTCTAAATACATTTTCTATCTTGCTTGGTTTGTTAGGGATACATGGTGAATCTCTGCCGACACTTTTTTTGCTTTAACAAGAATGCATCTAGTATTTCACTGGACACCAGTTATTGTAATGTTAAAAGCAAATGTGAGCCAAAAGTACTTCAAGGAAGTATCTTTTCTGGTGCTATTTTATAAACATTCTTAACAGCAGTAGATATTGGATTTTATGAAATGCCTCCCTCCATTTTGTGAGTTGATCTTTTTTTTCTCTCCTTTGAACTGTTGATGTAGTAGAGTGATATTCATAGATTTCCTCATATTGAGCCAGTGTTACATTCCTAGAACAAAACTGTGTGGTCGTGGTGCTTAATACTAGGGTACATTCAACTTGCCATAATTCTATTGAGAATTTTCACAGCAGTATTAATAAGTTGGTAATCTTATTTTGGTACTGTCAGGTTCTGTTATTAGGAATTTGTTAGTTGGATGAAATGAACTAGAAGGATTATCGTATTCCTTATGCCCCAGCACAACTTCTATATATGGCAGTTATCTATGTTACTGTTGAACGTAAGGGGTGAGGTGCTGGCTTGTCAATGAGACTTAAGCTGCACATTGCAGGATCCCTGTCCCTCCTCCCTACCACAACAGTCTTACCCATCTCCCACAGGAGGAATCTTTGAGTATGCAGATGGCCCCAATGCCCAGGTCATGAATGCCGAGGAACATGCCTTTCGATTTTCTGCCAACATCATCAACAGGAACAGGACCCTGTTGCCCAACACAACCTTGACTTATGACATCCAGAGGATTCACTTCCATGACAGCTTTGAGGCAACCAAGAAGGGTGAGTGTGCAACTCCTGCTTGTTGTCTTCCCGGGGTGGGGCTGGGCTTCCTGTCCAATACCAGACCTCTGGGTGGGTTTGGGGCTGGGACCATTTCCACTTGGCCTGGGGACCTGCCTCAGGCCCAGTTCAGCTGAGACTGTGTCAGTCCCCAGGGTGTCCATCAGGAATTGCCAGGCCACTGTCTGGGGCTGAAGGGAGTAGGGGCCTTGAAGGGTGGCTGGTGAGGGGATCAGAGGCCATGAGAGGCAGGGAGGGTGTGGGGATCTGAGACTGGCTGCCAGGCGGAGGCTGCACAGGTCTCCAGCACCTCTGAACCCAAGTGGACATTTTCAACCTTCCTTTTTTTTTTTCTTTCTTAAAGTTTTATATTATTTTTAACTGAAAAATAATGCGTGTAGATATTTATGGGGTGTGATGTGATGTTTTGCTACATGTATGCATTGTGGAATGATCAAACCAGAAGAATTAGCCTATCCATCACTTCAAGTATTTATCATTTCTTTCTGGGGAGAACATTTAAAATCCTCTCTTTTGCTATTTTAAAACATATATCATTATTATTATTAATTACAATCATCTTTTAAAAATTATAATCATCTTGCTCTGAAAGCTTGTTTTGTCCTTCATTGAAATCCCACCCAAAATAAGCAATATGTACAATACATATAATGCAGATAATGTATAAGTTCAATGTGTAAGACCTACTTGCCATAAAAAGACTTGATAAAAACAACAAAGCTGATTCTGTGCCTACTACAGCTTTACCCCAGGTGTTGTGATGACCCTTGAAGTTTGACATTGGCCTTGATATTTGGTACATTTTTGTTTTGCTTTGGTTGAATAGTAACAAGAAAATCATAATTCATAAAAACAAATTGTAGTAAATCCAATAGTTTTCCCACCCCTGATTTTTAAAAATTGAAATAAAAACAAATGTGGTGCATCCTTCCTAATTAGTAGCATATTTAAAATTAAAATAAGCTCAAGGTTTCGTGACTTGAGGTCTTCAAACACACAAAAGAGAGCCAGAGTGGGCTAGAAGTTTCCAGTGTGGTATATAACACTCTCGAGTACACAAGTGTGCTTTTTTGTTACTTTTTAAAAGAATAGTTCACACACACACACACACAGTTGGCCCCCACCCAGTCCATGGGATCCACATCTGTAGATTCAACCAAACACAGATAAAGAAATAATTCAGGAAAAAATAATTACATCTGTACTGAACATGTGCAGTTTTTCCTCATCATTTTTTCCTAAATAGTGACATAACACCTTTTTACACAATGTTCATATTGTACCAAGTATTATAACTACAGCAGTCCAAAAGTGACTTAAGGTCACACACAGAAGAGTGTGTGCAAGATATATACAAATATTCCACCATTTTATGTGAGGAACTTAAGCATCTGTCAATTTTGATATCCAAGGAGGGTCCTAGAACCAATTCCCTGCAGATGCCAAGGGAGACAGCATATCTGAACTATATTTTTTCATATACATTTGATTCAAATTTAACTTTAAGGCTTAGATAACTCTGGAAATAGCTTCCTCAGAATCCTGGATTTCCTTTAACTCTGTTTAAATGTCTCAAGCTTAAAGAGTCTCATTCCCCAGATAACTAGGTCACCCTTCCTTTAATGTGATATCACATCCCCTTGCTTTCCCCTTCAAAACCCTTATAGTAATTTTTAGTTGAGTAATTGTGTATTTAATGTCTTTCCTGCTCTATCCAACAACACCAAAGAGAAGTCTCTCTCTTGGTAACTGATATATTTCTGTGGCACCCAGCAGATGGGCAGATGGTAATTGCTGAATGAGGCAACGAACGGATAGTGTGAGTTTAGGGCATGGGGCCTGAGCATCCCTGGCCAGTACTACTGTTGGCTAAGCCAAGGAGAGGGTGCTATCCATGCATCCTGGGCAGAGAGACCCACCCACAGGAGATCTGTGTCTTTCTAAAGGGTTCCCAGTTTATACTCAAGAACAACTTTCTCCCAGCCCGGGACCCTTGATCTCTTAGATTTTTGGGTGTACACCTGTCAAGGTGCTACCTACAGTTGTTTCTGTTTTCCAAAGCCCCGTCACAGGTAAGCATCTCAGCATAGAAAGACAGCATACCACAGCCTGGGAGCTATCTGTGTGATCTTTGACAAAAATACCCCAATGCCTTACTTTCCTCATCTGTGTGATGGGCACGCCTACAGTTGTAAATGTATAGTGTCTGACACCACAGTCAGTATTACGTAGGGCTTTGCTCTTGTTGCACTGGGCTCCCTTACTCTCCACGTGCTCAACCACCAAGTCAAGACCCGCCTCCTACGGACCTGCCCATAGAGGATCAGAGGGTTTCTGGTACTGAGAACTATGACTGCCAACACTTTTGAATCATAGAGTCAGCCGACAGACAGACAAAGAATACCCACCCTGAATTAGCGGAAGAGTTCCTTTACCAGGCAGCCCTCTCCCTGCTCCAGCAAACCCCATCCCTGCCTGAGTTCTGCTGCTCTCTTCCCGGCATGCCCTGTGGCCAGCACTGCACAGTGAAATATCCATCTTCCTGCTGAGCACCCATGCTGACAACTCTGCCCAGCCTTGTCTACCTACAAAATGACTAAACCAAACCTGCGTGATAAAAAGGTCAGGACACAGAACAAATGCCTGGAGCCAGAACACAGACACAGAGGCCTATGTAGGTTCAACAAGACCAAGGGGCTCTCATTCGCTTGCACCATATATAGGAAGTAGGAAGAGGTTCAAATAATTCCCCAAATTACCAATTCCACTGTTTCAAAAATATTTCAATAGTATTTGCCAATCACACTGCTAGTGTCTCTTAGTTTTTGAAGAAAAACTTAAGCCAGCCCCAAACAAATCTTGACTATCACTCAAATCAAGCTGTAGACCACACAACCCCTTCAGAAGCCCCTCTGTGACCCCTCCACCCGGTCGACTCTGGAGGGCCTCCATTGTTCCACTGCTGCTGCCGCGCTCTGATTTGCCCTGACTTGGAGCTTCGTGGAGGTCAGAATTACCCAGCGTCTCCTTTTTCAAGCCTGGCTTCTTAAGTGCTACAGTGTCCTTATGAGAGTCCTCTGTGCTGTTGAATGCAGCAGTAGCTCATGGTTCTCTACTGATGGGCAGGGGCCCTTTATATGAACGTGCCCCTGTTTTTCAAAATGTATTTTATGTCTGTTGCACCTTTGAGCGGTTTCAGTCTGGGGCTAGTACTGCTGTGAAGTTACTGGTAGATGCACGAATATACTCACTTTTGTTGGTCATACCGAGGAGTGGAAGTTTGAGGTCATAGAAAGTGCCTGTGTTCAGCCAGTTTTTCAGAGTCCCTGTACCAGTTTGCACTTTCACCTGAAGGGCGTGAGACCATAGCTGCCTTCCATCTTCACTAACCCTTGGCAAAGTCAGTTTTATGTTTAAATTTTGGCCATTCTGGTGTTTTATGTAGTGGTTATCTCACTGTGGTTTCATTTTGTTTTTCCCTGATGATGAGAGGTTGAATACATTTTTTATGCTAATAGGTCATTTGAACACTGTCTTGGTATCCTTTCTATTTGGGGGAGAGATATAGAATATATTCATTGCAGCATTCTTCGTAATATTTTCTGAGGAGCAGAGTTCTTAATTTAAAGAAATCCAATTAATATTTTCCATTGTTGTGCTTTGCGTTCTGCTTGAGAAGTCACTGTCTATCCTGAGGTCATAAACATATTCTCCTCTCTTCTCATCTAGAAGCACTATTGTTTTATTTTTCATAGTTAGCTCTATGATCCAACTCAAACTGATTTTCTGAATATTATGAGAGATGGGGATTGAGGTCTATTCTTTCTACGTAATGCTGGTGGAAGTGAAAATTTCAACTTCTCTGAAGAATCGCTTGGCAGTATCTACTAAATCTTTTGCCTCTTACAAGAATGTTCCTAGCCACTTCAATGGTAACCACCAAAAGTTGGGAATAAATAAAGAGTTCCTCCCTACTCTTAGGCTAGATTGAGGGAATAGTCATACAGCGGAATTTTAATCAGCAGTAAAACAAAAGAAACTCTTGCTATACACTGTATCATAGATGAAGCTTAGACATAATGTGAAGTGAAAAGTGGGTACTTTTGGGGAGTCATACGCAGTGGGTGGTGGCTGGAAAGGAGTAAGAAGGAGCCTTCCTGGGTGTTAGAAACATGCTATAGCTCGATCCAAAAAGTGCAGGACCCATGAATATGTGATACATGAGGGCAGTTATATGTAAAAATTCACCCATTGCTTGCTTAAAACTGATTCACTTTACTACGTTGTAAATTTAATAAAAAGTGGTAGATAACATCCCATAAGAGCAACTCTAAGAGACATTTCTGCTATGGCATCATACTCCCCATTGGGTGCCCTCCATCTCACAGGAAGCCTCTTGTTCCCAAGATTTTTATTTCCTTCTTTTAATCTTTGATATTTTTAGCTGTATTCCTTGGAAGCATCTTTAAGACTCTTCCGAGGGAGTGCACTTGGGCCTAACTCAGATTAACCCAGTGATAATCCATTTTCCCCTAGGTGGAAGTTTCCATCCCCACCCCCACCCCCCATCTAGATCCAGATGCCTTCGGCACTGTGGAGCGAGGGGACGTGGAGGCATAGAGCCTGGCACCGCCTGCTCCCCCAGCTCTGATTGAATTAGTCCTTCTCCCTGCACGAGGCCCAGGAGGCCTTTCCCTATTAAAAGGGGCATTCACTTATTGTCTTTATTTTGAAATGTTTTATGGAAAATTAAAAGATGAGTAACTGCCAGGCAGTGCCTGAGCCAGCTACCCAGAGAGCGTCTGTGGTTCCTTCCAAGTCTGACCAGAGCAGCCCTGGAATCGACCCAGCCCTCCCCAGGCTCCTCTGCCTTCACTTATTCTCGGAGCTGCTCAATTCCTTTTAAGACACAAATTGATTGGGATAATTTTTGTTATAACTACAATTGCCATGGAAAGAAGGAGGGGGATGCATTCAGGCTGGGGACTCCTGCCATGATTGTGAACCACTGAGTTACTGTAAAATGACCAGAAAATGGATTCAAAATTGAAGCCACAAATAATGTAATTACTGCAGTGTGTGCTCAGGGCTGCCAGAACAAGGGTTGGCTGCTTCCCTGGAAACATCTGGAGAGAAAGCTGCCCCTGCTGGTGCTGCTGCTGTCACCCCTGCCCCGGTCCTTGGGAGTGGCATTGATCTTCCAGGCTGGAAGAGCCTCAGAGCTTTGAAGGAAAGGGGGATGGGCAAAGGGATATGCAGAGAGGCCAAAGAGAGGAAATAGATGGAGGACAGGGCTGGTATTTCCTGCCACTCAACAGTGAGATCTGATCACCACATCTCTGGCAAAATAAAACCCAGTGTGGGTATCATCAACACAGTAGCACCACCATTGTCACACCTGTCAGCACCAATGCGTTAGCACTGCCGTCCCGCTGATACTGCCATCCCCGTCCATCGTGGTATCACCTCCACTCAACAGTGTCAGCAGCACTGTCACTACCCCTGCCATCACCGTCTCCGTCACTGTTAGGACAGCGGCATCTTTGTCACCGTCAGTCCCATCCGTGCGAAAGCCATCACCCTTCCTCCTGTCACCACCTGTTACTGCGATGGCATTAACATCCTCCTCATCACGGATCTCGACGCTATCAGAATTGTTACCACATGAATCCATTCAAATCGGTCAGTATCACCACACCCGGGATCCTCAGCACCGTCGTTGCCATGACAACAGCATCTTCCTCACCCTCAGTCTCATCGACATCACTACCACCATCCCACCGATGCTGTCATCACCATCACCTCCTCTCTTCTCAGTGCGTACATCACTATTGTCATTACTATTACTGTCGCAACACCCCCGTCGATGTCACCCTCATCAATGCCATCAGCATTCTGATCGATCGATAGCTTTGTGATGTGGCCTTCCCTATCACAGTTGCTCTTAAAACTACCTTTACCATTCTCCTACCAATCAATATCCAAACAAAACCACTTCCTTCAAGGGCGTTCTCACAACCCATTGCAGCATGATACTTTGTTTGGCCTGCACTCCCCTGCCTCCGTCAAGCAAGATTCCTGGACCTTGAGAGGCAAGAAGACCTGGGAGGTTGTACGAGGTTAGGAGGGGTGGAGTCGCATCGTCTAGCCTGCTTCAAGGCATAGATCAAAGTGGAAAATCCAAGAGGCAGAGCCTTAGAAGCAGTGCTGGGAGGGAAGGAGACGTCCACGTATTGCAACCAAGTCTTCAATCTGAACGTCCTCAGGGTAAAAGGGAGAAAAGAGACAGGAAGTTCTGGGACAGAAACAGAGATATCGGGGAGCTGCGAGGGGGTGCGACTGTCACTCCCTGTGACCATCTGCTCCAGGTTGGTATCCAGATTCAGTGGCTCCGAGTGACTCACAGATGGCCTTGGGGCCCAGCATCCTTGGAGAAAGGGCATTGAAAAAGAGAATTGTCCCTAAGTGTGACAGTTTGCTGACAAACCCAGGGTTCCTATGTTTGAAGCGTTAATATCACTGAGGTTCATCTCACACACAGTCACACAGAAGGCTACCCAAAGCTTGACTATGAGGTGACAAAACTGTGTTTCCCTGACCTGGCCTCCAGTCCCTGCACTGTAGGAGTGCAAGGAAGACGTCACGCTCCCTGCTTTGTGTCCTCCTCGGCCTTGGTGTTGGCCACAAGGTATCCTGGTCCCCCAGGAGATGCTCTCCACACTGACTCTGTCACCATCTGTGCTCTAGGTGGCTCTGGCAGGCTCCCACACTGCTGCATTTTCACCCCAGCCATAAGTACCATTCTCTGATATTCTTGGAGGAAGTAGAAATTTCAGGGAGAATAGCTACTTTACCTAGCAATCTCCCATTTCCAAGAAGCAGTGAGGTTAATGATGGATGTCAGCTAAGATGAAAAATATGCGAAGATTACCCAGTGTCGTAGAGTCAAGTCTACTCTGTATGCCTGGGTCGGGTGGTTACCACTTTTGTGCCTTGGATGGGGCTTTCCCTCCTCGGGTCAGCCTCTCCTCCCAGGACAGACATCCTTGAGACCAAAGAGATTCACCCTTTTGAGGGCCAGCTAGACTTTGCTCTCAATATCTAGAACGCCTGAATTCCCTGCCCAAGTGGCCCTGAGCCCACTCCCATGGCCTGCATGTCCCCCTCCCCAAGGTCTGTCCTTTGGAGGAAGAGCCATGCTCCAAGGTACAGGCTTCCAGGCCCTGGGGGCAACCGGGGCAGCTGTGTGCAGAGGTGCGGGCGGGGCTTGGATGGAAGGGCTGGGGTGCGCACATAGAAGGGGCGAAGCTCCTGTGGCTCAGGATGGAGCTGGCTGGACAAGCCAGGGCTGGGCGCTGCCTCTCTCCACGTCACCGTGTGTGAGATGTCTCCATTTCTCAGGCCATCACAAAGGTGCACTTTTCAAGGTAGGCAGAAAATATGTATTTTGTTTAGCACTTTGTTAGCTTGACTCCCACATAAATATTTAGCCTCATGGCATGTGGATCTCCATCTGTATCCTGGCCCTGGGCCCTACAAATCTTAGAGGAGCGCCTGTGCCCACGAGGGCTCTCCCAGAAGCCCTTGAGGCAACCGTAGCGGATTCACCCGGAGTGCTTTGCCTGATGCCGCCCCACGCATTGTAGATACACATCACATGACTGCTCCTCTGTATAGGACAGGAAAAGGTATGGAGACCAGGAAAGGTAGAGACAGCTGCTGGAAGAAAGGGGTATGGCTCCGCAGGAGTCGTCCCTGAATGTGCCCTTTTTCAGGAATCATTAGACAAAATCCCCTCTGTGAGGTGCAGCTGCCCTGACTCTACTGAGCCGCTCATGTGAGGCCATCCCAGCCCAATGGAAGCCTCTCTGCCCGGCCTGGGGCTTCCTCGGGATCACAGACGATTTGAAGGTGGTGATTTGACACTCAATCACTCCTCAGATGTTGGCTAAGCACTGTGCATATATGAATAAATGACAGAGATCAAGCACCATTCTCTTCAGGGCTTGCATTCAAGTGGAAGGAGAAAGTCAACAAATGCACAAGACTTCTGTTGATCATTTAATAAAGATGACAGGCTGTGGGGCTTAGAAAGTGTGGTGGGACTTTCTATTAGAGGTAGGGCAATGTTGACCTTTCTAGTAAGACACATACACAGAGATCTGAGGGAAGGGGGAGAGAGTCATGTTGGTATATGAAGAAAGAACATTCCAGTCTGAGAAAATAGCGAGTGCAAAGGCCCTGAGGCAGGAGTGTGCCTAATGTGTTTGGGGACCATCATTCATGGAAGTCAGTGGGGATTGAGTGCTCTCGGGGAGGGAGAGAATGGGAGACAAAGTCAGAAAGATGAGGGGAGTCAGGGATGGGGAGAAGCCGCAATAAATTGGGCCTCTTCAGCCACTGTAAGGGCCCTGATTTTTGTGCTGAGTAGGATGGAACCACTTGAAGAAAAGCCTTATATCCTGAGAGCCCTTGCTGGCTGTGGAGAGCAGAACAGACACTGGGAAGGACGAATGAGCTGTGATAATCCAAGTGTCAGACCATGGTGATTAGACAAAGGAGGGAGGTAGGAGAGGGAGTAGGAGAAGTGGTCAGAGTGACAGCTCTTGAAGGAGAAGCAGCATGAGTCGGACTGGGTTTTGGCCTGCAAGAGAACCAGAGAAGTCAAGGCAAAGCCAAGGCTTTGGGCACGGAGGTCAGAGACAGTGGAGACGCCCTTGACAGTGGTGAGGGAGGCTGGGAGGAGAAGAGGAGGCTGATTTTGTACATGTTGCTCTGAGATGCCTCTTAGATATCTCAGTGATGATGCTGAGAGAGAGGGGAGATGGCCGAGTCGGGACTGGAGGGTGGAGAAGCATCAACCAATGCACAGCTGTGTTTTCAAGCTCCCCGGTGCAGGCCTGGCACAGAGCTGGTGGTGCTGCTGCTCACCATGGCCATGACATCACGGGTGACCGGCATGCCTGTGTCCCGGGTGCTTCCTAAGGGCCAGACACCATGCTACCATCTTTCACACATCATCTCTTGCCTTCCTGGATCAAAGAGAGACATTAATACCCCCATTTCTCAAATGATAAAACTGAGATTCAGAGAGATGGCGAGTCACCCACCCCCTGAGGGTTCCAGATGTTTTATCCCCATTTACCAGATCATCAAAACCACCCCCCCGTGCCCAAAATCCCCAGTGCTGACCCCTGTGCTGCTCTCCCCCATCACTGCAGCCTGTGACCAGCTGGCGCTGGGTGTGGTGGCGATCTTTGGGCCGTCACAGGGCTCTTGCACCAACGCCGTCCAGTCCATCTGCAACGCCCTGGAGGTGCCTCACATCCAGCTGCGCTGGAAGCATCACCCACTGGACAACAAGGACACCTTCTACGTGAACCTCTATCCCGACTATGCCTCACTCAGCCACGCCATCCTGGACCTGGTCCAGCACCTCAAGTGGCGGTCGGCCACCGTGGTCTATGACGACAGTACAGGTGGGTGGTCAGGCTGGGCTGGGCTGGGAGGGTGGAGGGGACAGAACCCCAGCTTCAGGCTCTCATCTGCTTGCCTAACAGCTGCCCCTGGGGAAAAGGCACAGCCTACAGCACAGCCCATCTTTGCCCCTGTGGTCACCTGCACCTACAGGACACTCTCACACCTTGCTCAGCCCCAGGCCCTCCACACTTACCTCTTGTCTTGCCCTGCATGCTACCTCCAGGCCCCACCCAGCCTGAGTGCTCAGATCTGTACTTGGCACCCAGCCTACCCGTCACTCACACCTCTACTCACCAGCATGGCCTCCACTGTCACACCCAGAGGTCTCTGGGGTATGGCCTGAAGTTAAATGTGGGTGTGCTGGAGCCCAAACACCCTGGTCTCTATCTCAGCTATCCTACCTGCTGCCTGTGCACCCACTCGTGGGCCTCAGTTGCCTCCTCTACAGAATGTGGAGGTTAAAAGGCATAAGGCAACCAGGCACACAGGGCTCACTGAAATGAGTTCTGCCCCTCTTTGCATCTGCACCCAGTAAAGACACTTGTCTCTACCTACACAGCAGCTGTGCTCACATGTGGACACCCAGCCTCCCACATGACCCAGCCAAGACCAGACCCACAGAAGAGGGATCCATCTCATACCCCTTCCCAGTTGGAGCTAACGATAGCATTCTTCTGAGTAGGACCCGCTTGGAGAAGTCCTGCCTAACCTTTCTGAGCTAGCCTGGGACATCCCAGAAAATTCTAGGACAATGTGCCACCCCTGTGTCTGGGTCCCAGGCCCGCCACTAGCAATCGGGCAAATGTGTTCTGAGCCTTTCCTTCTGCCCTCATCCACTGCTGAGAGCTGTGGATACCCAGGTGAATAAAAGCCCCCACCTTAGACTTGGGGGACACAGACGGTGCTGCACTGCTGTCTCTGAGAAACTATATGCAGAGGGCTAAAGGGCTTGCTTGAGGTCACGGAAAGGGCCTGGGTGAACAGAGGGAGAGGAGAAAGAAAGGGCTCCTTGCTGAGCTTTGCCCTGGTCCTCAGTCAGCCTCAGGACGGGCCCTCCAGTGACAGAAGAATGCTGCTGGGTTGGTGCCCTAAAAAACACTACCACTTGTCTGCAGGGGGCCAAGTGGTGGCAGTTTCGGTTAATTTCGGTGAGTTCTCGGGGTGATCCATTAGAAAGGAAGACATTGAGACTCAAGAGGGCGACACGCCCTGTCTCTGGGACCCAGCTAGAGTCAGAGCCAGCAGCACCTGCAGGCCTGGTCAAGTCTAAAACCAGTGCTCACAGCCAGCGGGTTCTTCTCCCTCTCCTCTCTCTTTCCAAAGACTCAGTCCCAAGCCATTTCTTACCCCGGCCTCTTAAGAAAGAGTGACCTTGGCAAATCATTTAACTCATCTGGCCTCACTCTTCGCACTTGTCAAGAGCTGCAGCATCCAGTCTCGGAAGAGCCCTCCAGCTCTCCGGCGCCTGTGATTCATGTCAGCTCTTGATTACCTCCTAATGGGCAGTGGGACTCGCAGGGCAAGAAGCCCTCAGAAGAGAAAATCAGAAAGTTGTTTATTTATCTCGGGATTCCACAAACATCCACTGAGTTCCCACTGTACCCAGAGCACCAGACAGGAGATCCTTGAAAGCAGAGTCCCCACTCCAGTGCTGCCTGGAGTCCTCAGCAGGAGTGCCGTCCCTGCCCCCTGCAAGTCACCGCTGGTGTCTCTGCAGCACTGTGCTACCTTCTGTCTTCATGCGCTGCAGTGAATGACGTCTCTCTCTGAGCCCATCTCTGCCCCCCGACCACACACTCTCTGTGCCTCCAGGATTTAGCACGGAGCCTGGTACAAAGTCGGTGTTTTCAAATGTTGGTTGGACTGAATTGAGTGGGATTGAGTTGAATAGAATTGAAAATCAAGTTGAATTAAACTCGAAGTATTCCAGGGTAAAGTGTGAGGGTAAAGAAGTAAAGACGTTAACCCCTTTTGTTTTGAGTAGTTAATCATATTATAAAGAGTGGGTGCCTGTCGAGAGGTCACTGGTGATTTCAGGCCATCGGAGCTAAGAATCACGCGCTGTGACTCATGCACAGTCAGAGCTGGAGGCCCCGGGAGAGGTGCTCTGAGGCCTCGGTTTGCCTGTGCTGTTACACCGGCGGAGGAGAGAGACTCGGATCCTTGCTGCCGGGCCTTCAGATGAAAGGGCAGGGAGAGCAGTGGCCGGGCGCGACGAGTGGAAAAGAGCGGGGTGCGCGAAAGTGAAGAGGGGAGGCCATGCGCGGCAGCGGCGGGGAGATGAGAGTCCAGCCTAAGGAGACGGTCTGAGTATGGAGCGAGGGAGGGAAAAGTCAGACACACTGGCTGAAGGGAGAGCCTGGAGCAAGCGGGCTGTAACTGGAATGTCACAGACACAGAGCTCGGTAGACACTGGGGAAACCACTGCCCAGCCGGGCTGGGCCTCCAGGCTGGGTGGGGCGGGGAGGCTTCGCAGGGGAATGGAAGCTGCGGTAAGATGACGGGTGACAAGCGAGCGGAACTGGTCACAGCTGATGCCGAGTCTGAGGCTCCCTGTCCCCAAGGATTCTAGCTCTACTGCATGGGCATCAACTGATCTTCAGATCTGATGGTTTAGAATTACTATTAACTACTCAGGAGAAAGAAAAAGAAAAAGGGGATGAGAGCATCATTTCTTCCCCCTCACCAGTACCCAATTCATTCTTCCCTGCAATTTCTAATTAGTCTAATTCAATCTGATTTCTAATTTGACTCAACGGAGTTCAGTCTAAACATTTTAAAACGGGAGAATCAATAAGAGAAGGGGTTTGGACAAGTAGTCTTGGGGAATGAGGGCAGGATTCAAGCATTAATGCAACCTCCAAAGTGAGTAGCAGATGGCAAGAAGCACGTTCCCAGAGTCAGGCTATTATGAGGCAGGACAGCTTGTGGTCCATCACAGCCCGGGAATGGAAAGTACATTAGAGCACAGGCTCCAGCTGCGTCTGCTTTAGGGGCTGTGTCCATTAGGATGTTTTGCCTATGAGTAACAGACAGCCCAGCTCAAACTGATTCAAGAATTGGCTGCTTGGTTATATCACTGACACCTAGGAAGGGGTCTTTCCAGGGCTGGTTTAGCAGCTCGACAAAATCAAAGTGCTGGATCAGTCTCGCCAGGACCCTCTTGGCTTTTCCTCCTAGTCACAGTAAAGTTGCTACAACTCCAAGCATCCTCTCTTCTTCACACGAGGCCGCCCAAGCAGGAAGGAAGGAAGGAAGGAGGTAGGAGCCAAAGGGATTTGTGTTGATGTGACTCATGCTTCTTATCACGGAAGGAAATCTGTCTCAGAATCTTTTAGAAGACAGTTCTGCATAGCTCTCTGGGACCACACCTACTACTCTAAACACTGTGAAATGACATTGGAATCGGCACTGATTGGCCCTTCAAAATCTTGAGTCACCTCTGGGGACCGCCACATTGCTATCAAACAAAAGCCTATTTCTTTTCGCAGTCCAGAAGAGGGTGCATCGGTTAGCTCTTTTTATAGTGACAAACTACCCTGAAAATTCAGTGGCTTAAAGTAATAAGCATTTGTTTAGCTCCTAAGTCCACAAGGTCAGCAATTTACATAGCCTGCTGAGGAGGTTTCTCTGGTCTCAGCTGCCTTGTTCACCTGCCTGTTGGTTGATCTAGACTGGCCTTGGCAGGAAAGACATTGAGTCCAGGCTGTCCCCCGTTTCTGTCCTCCAGCAGGCTCATGCAAGCAGGATAATGGCAGAGGAGTGATATATTAAACCCCGTGTATACGATTCCACGTCAGGGGTCTGCTTGCATTGTGCCTGCTAATATTCTTCTGGTCAAGACAAGTCACAAGGCTGGAGGACACAGCAAGATTACCTGAGATAGGGCCTGGATGTCAGGAAGGACAAAGAATTGGGGCCATCACTGCAATCTACTTTAGGAACAATGGCTTTTGAGGAGACAACTACTGTTTGCCCTTTGAGCTGTGCTACCTCTCTACCTTTCTAACCTAATCTGTGCACAAAGACAATCCCCCCCCCCCCGCCATGCTGAGGATTGAACCCAGGGTCTCACACATGCTAGGCAAGTCCTCTACCACTGAGCTACACCCTCAGCCCTTTTTATTGTATTTTAAGACAGCGTCTGCCCAAGTTGTGTAGACTTGTGCTCAAACTTGTGATTCTCCTGCCTCAGCCTCTAATTACAGGCATCTGTCACTTAGTCCAGCTAAAGAAAAAGTCTCTCCTGGATAAAAGGAAATATTTAGAAAAATCCGGGGTGGGGAAAAGGGTCCCAGCCTAGGAGCCAAAAGATTGTATCTCAAATTTTGATCCTTTTCCTAGCATGCTGTAAAACCTTGGGACGGTCCCTTAATTTCTGCAGCCCTTGGTTTCTTCCTTTGCAACATTGGAATGAAAATCTCTGTTCCACACGCCTTCTAGGATTGGGAGATGGTTAAACAGGGTAATGAATGCAGAAGTGCTTCGTAAGTGAAAAGCACGATTCCCACAACCATGATTCACTGCAGATATTTTGAGAGGGATTGATGAGGGAAGCAGCCGGGAAGGAAAGCACAGCTCAGGCAAACAAAGACAGCTTCATCCTCTGCTGGGCTGGGCTGGGCGGAACTCTGTTCTCCTTTGGGAATTCACTGATGGCAAGAAGGTCTGACATTTGCTGCCGGAGAATGTGGGTCACTGTGCATTACACAGGACGATGTACTTGGCTGACAGGGAGGCCCTGCTGGCCTCTGATTCGGCATCTATCCTGTCCCCGTCCTTGTGTTTTGGGTCCCTGAAGCCTTCATGCCTACTGCTGCTGAGCATGGGCTGGAAACCAAGTGTGATCTGGGCACCCTGGGCCTCTTGGGGTAATAGGTATGGAAGGTCAGCATCATTTAGCCAAGCCAGCTGAGACTTTCTGAATACACTGGGAGGAGGATGCACAGGACTGGTTGTGATTGGGTCAGCTTGTGGCCTCTCCTCTGCTGAGGCCACCTGACATCATCTCCCTGCTCCCATCAAGTCCAGGGTTAGCAGGCATGGGGGCCTGTTTGGTCCAGACCTCTCTAAGCCTCCAGACCCTTCTCCCAGCCACTGCACCTGGGTCTAGGACTTTGCGTGGGAACGCAGTGAGCCCCAGCTCTCCCGTCTCTATCCTGCAGCAGACTCACTGTCAGGACAGTGGCGTAGGAGCGGGACAGCGGCCTTGGCAAAGCTTGTGCTGGAGCTCTTTGGGAAACATGACTGTCCTCCTCAGCACAGTGAAATGATGGAAAGCAATCAGACTGCTTTCCTGATGCCCAGCCCTTAAAAATAGGAAGGATAGCTGAATAGACTCAGGCTGTATACCAGAGATGGCTTGGGAGACGTGGCTTCATTGGAAGCCTTCTGGGAATGGGCTGAGTGCGGGGATTCCATCTAGATGTGGGACACTGTAGCTGCCGAAACAAACTTTCATCCAGTACAGACTAGCTCAAGAAAAATTGTGTGTGTGCGTGTGTGTTGAGCAGCAGGTGGAGAGGTGTTGGCAGCCTTTACTGAAAAGTTCAGGGTAATTTTTGCTTCAGGTACTGGTCAATCCAAAGGCTCAAATGAGTATCATCAGAACTTCCTTTCTCTCTGTTCTCTTGGACTCTACTCCGTTGCAGTCCTTGGGAAGTTCTATTGGTGACCCCGGATTATACATCCCTATTTGAAGTTGAATGAAAAGGAAATGTTTCTTACCTGCTGCAACAAGGAGTCACTCTGATAAGAGCCGACTGAGTCCTGTGTCCATCTCCGAGTCAGTCTTATTCCTAGAGGATGTATTCATGGGCCAGGCTAGGGCCGTGTGTTTTGCCCCTAACACATAAACTGGGAGTAGGGGCGCAGTTGTTCCCCAAAGGAAAATCAGAGTCCTATTAGTGAGGAGATAGGGTGTGGCTGTGTGAACAATGAACCAGGAGGCAGCCACTGGGCCAAGGGTGGCAGATGGCCAGGTGGGGGAGGGGACAGCCCGCCAGCCCCTCCTGCATGGGCCAACCTGGGCGAATAGAGAGCAGCAAGCAGACTCCCTTCCAGACTGCACAAAGGAGTCAGCAAGAATGGGCCCTGAAATAGGGACAGAAATGAACTTAATTAGACCTAAGCAAGCCATTTGTCTCCAGGAAGTGACATTCAGTTTTCCCTGGAAGTCCCCAGATTAAGTGCTTTTACAAAATGCCAAGGTGGAGGATAGATTTTTTCAGTGTGGGAAGAGAAAAACAGCAAGTCAATCCAATTACGGAAATTTCTGTTGAGTACTACCTAAGGGCCAGGCTCCACTCCAGGGATTACGGCGACCCATTCCCCAATTTCAAGGTCCTCATGGTTGGATGAGAAGAGTTACGGGGTGCCAGAGGAGGCTGAGTGAAAGAGCTAGTAATCTGGCCATGGCGGGGTGTCTGGGCAGGAAGTCTTTTCTGAACAAAGCAATAGAAGCAGGCTTCATGGAGGAGGTGTGGCATTAAACCTAGAAGAATGAATACATAAAGTTTACCAAGGCAGCCTTCTCACGGGGTGGGGGGCACATAGAGTACCTGGCCTTTGGTAGTCTGACAGTTGGGATGTGCTAGTACCTTTGAGGCTAGAGCTACCTCTTGTGTCCACATACCAGAGGTGTATTTGCTGGAGATGTTTGGGAAATTATGCCCCATGTTTCACAAAGCTGTCTATGCCTATTATGGTGAGAGATGCAAGTAGGTGTGATCAGCAGGAACTTGCTGTCTGTGCCTCCTTTTGAATCTCTGTACACATGTACATGTATGCATGTGAGCACAGGCCTTTGTCTACATCTACAGAGGTGTCTCTAAGCCCAAGTGTATGTCCTTTAGGTATCAGCTTGCACACGTGCCTACCCGTGTGTGTGTGTACACACACGCACACACATTGGTGCTCCAGCCTTGGTGCACATGCAGGCCTGTCCGGGTGTACACATCTCTGCCTGAGTGCACTCACGCCTGTCTCTGGACACTTCCGGCCATGTCCATGCACACACACATATCTCTGTGGGCCACATGCACACGTGTGGCTTTTTGCCCTGTGCTCCTCAGGGCTCATCCGGCTGCAGGAGCTCATCATGGCCCCGTCAAGATACAACATCCGCCTGAAGATCCGCCAGCTCCCCATCGACTCCGACGACTCTCGCCCCCTGCTCAAGGAGATGAAACGTGGCCGGGAGTTCCGCATCATCTTCGACTGCAGCCACACCATGGCAGCCCAGATCCTCAAGCAGGTGCGTGAGTGCCGGCCAGCAGAGGGGTGGCTGGGGCCTGCTGACCATTTCTCCCAACCTCCCCTTTCCTGGACACAGCCGTGATGCACGGCTCCTAGCACTGCCTCTCCCTGACTGTGACCTTTGATGTCACTTTGCCTCTTCAAGCCTTAGTTTCACCAGCAGCAAAACTAACTGGACGGTCTGCCCATCCAGCCCTAGCACACTGAGAGTACCCAGTAAATGCGTTTTGCCTAGGTACAGGTGGGAGGTGGGCTGCTAGAGGGTCCCAAAGCCACCCAGAAACAGAACCCTCCAGGAGACACAGGCAGGCTTCAGATTCGCAGGAAGAGCCCCACAGTGCCTCACCGCCTCTCCCAGTGACTCATTCCTCATGGCCTGCGGCACGTGGTGTCACTCTCCTATTACACGGAGGTGCATCAAGGTCCCTTGCACCACCGTCTGCTCAGCTGTGCAGCAGTGGTGGGAGGTAGAGGACTCTTGGTCCTGCGCAGGCCTCCACTCCCAGTGCAGCTCAGCCTGGTGTGTTGGGGACCAGAGCCAAGTGCTGCAGCCACGTAAGAAAACCACAGCAAAATCTCCAGCAACCTCCAAGAGTGCCGCAGAGGAAACCAAAAGCACTCTGCTCGGAGCCTGTGTTTTGTGTGAAAGGCATAGATGTCATCCCAGGAAGTACCCCTGGTGATTGGAGGAGGCATTCTATGGGGCTTTGACACATAACCCGCTGAAATATAGGTCATAAGTTGGGGACACCGGTGCAGGGAGAGAGGTGCTCCAGGGGAGTTTCAAAGCCTGGTGACGCTGGAGTTCCCCCTCCAGTTGGGCCCCTCACCCCCAGCCAAATGGCAAACTCGACTAGAAGGCTCCTTCACAGCAGTAAAAGGCTAGTTCTCAGGCTTCTGCTCTGCCTGAGTCATTCCCTCCTCTGTGGATATAGTTAGTAATCCCTGGTACAGACAGGTCTGCGGATTCTGTGAGGCAAGGAAAGCAGAGTTTCTTCTGATGTCCAGCATGTGGTCTGCAGTGGGCACGGGGGATCCTTCACATCAACATGGAGGAAACACGCTCTGCAGAAAATCCTTAACCTGAATTCTCCTGGCCACCTGCTCCCAGTGCTCCCCTCTCCCCACCTTACATAACGGAGTGACAGTGACAGTCACAACGTTGGTTTACCAAAGAGTTCCTCTGCCGGGTACCTGTCACTTCCTACTAACTCTGGGAAAGGGAGACAGGTATCACACCCAGTTGACAGTGTGGGGACTGAGACTCAAGGGGAAAGTAGAGGGACCACGGTCATCCAGCTAGAAAGGCAGAACTTATTCTCAAGTCTGCAGGACTTGAAAACTTCTGGAGTTAAAGGCAAGGTTTCCATGTGCAGCTAAATAGGATTGAAAGCAGTTCAAACTGTCTGCCGCTGCCGGGTTCCAGTGAAGCCTTCTGGTCCTGATGGGGATCGGGGTGCTCCAGCCTGGGACAGAACTTGTAGCAGTTTCAAGGTATATTTGACCTGTGACATTTTGCCCCAGAGCACCTGATGGGCCCAGAATTCTAAATATATCTTGTAGATTTTATGGCAGTATATCATAAAAACCCCACAGCAGCTCTGTGGGTCAGAGGGGACCAGGGAAACAAGGAGGTCTCGGCGCTTCTGTCCTCAGGCTGAGGATAGCCCCTGCCCTCGGGCCTGGCTCAGGGGGGCGCTGTCTCTGGAGCCAGAGCAGCAAAGTGGGCAAAGCAGAGCTGGGCCCTTAAGGGGCAGCTACAGCTGCTGTGTCAGCACCTCTCTGAGTGTGGCTGGATCCCGCCCAACCCTGCAGAATAGGGAACCCTTGGAGAGTGCGGCCCCGAATCCGGCATCTTGATCTACCCTGTGGGCAATCTCCAGCCACTATTCAGAGGTCTCAGACCAGAGAGCCAGCCCCGCCAGCCCACAGCCCAGGCTGCTCCGTCCCCAGTTCTCACCCGGGGTAAAGGGACGGGTCATGAGGGTGCCCCCACTGGTGGCTGACACTTTGCTCTCCCGCAGGCTATGGCCATGGGCATGATGACCGAGTACTACCACTTCATCTTCACCACTCTGGTAACGTACCTTGGGGTCTTGGTGAGAGAAGGGGCGGGGGTCCCTCAGATCAAGGCCACTGTGCCCTGGCCTGGACCAGCCCACTGGGCACAGGTGCTGCAGCTAGAGGAGACCTGAGCACCTGAAGACTGTGGCCCCAGGAGTGGCCCCAGGAAAAGGCACAAAGATGCCTCTGTAACCTGCCTGCCTTTGAGAAGCCACATGGTTAGGATTAAAGAAATGGACTCTGAAGCCAGTGTGGATGCAGTTCCGCTGCTTATTTGTAGTAGGAGCTTGGATAAGTCATTTAACCTCTGTGCCTCAGTTTCTTCTGCTACAAAATGGGTTTCTGCCTCCTCCAGGGTTGCGAGGACTAATGAGTCAGCCATACAAAATGCTGAGAGCAGTGCCTGGTTCATGCAGAGCTGTAGAAGTAGCAGCTCTTATGACTCGTATGATCCTTAGTCTTCACCTTGGCTTCCCACGCCTGCCTCCTCCTTACACATCAGCTGGACTAGAATTGCCACTGTAGACTCCTGCAACATCCCCGCTGAAGTCAGACCCCTCACTGACAGCAGGCCAGCCCACCTGCAGGCTCCAGATGGGTTCTGTCCAAACTCCGAGAACATTTAGGACCATTTAAACCCATTAGGATAATGAGATGTGGCCTGAGATCAGCAGAATAAAGGCTTCCCTGTGCCAAAGGGGCACCAGCCTTGGAACCAGATGCCCTCGGACCTTCTGGGGTCCCGCTGTTCCACCCATCCCAGGTCTGGGGCAGGTGTGGGGCCTGCAGACCGTCCTTTTACTGAAATAAGCCATGGCAGTCAGGGTTGCCCCCACTCTTGCAGCCCCCACAGGCCGCTGAGGGGTTTCATTCATTTCTCAACACCTAGTTAACCTTTCTCACTCAGCATCTGTGCTAAGCTGAGCACTGTACCCTGGGATGATTAGGACCGATGACTTTCTCTTCACGTCTCTGTATCTGGCTCCTATACAGCAGGCCTTACGGGCCTGGCCAGAGAGCCTGAGGCACAGCACAGGCTGATGCTATGTGCTGAGGGGCTGGTGGAAAGTAAGAAGTTTGACTCATGCTTTACAGAGAAACAGGTGCCTGAACTGGGCCTTAACAGATCAGTAGGCAGTGGTTAGGCAGTAGGAGTTCGCTGATGGAAAAGAGGAATTCCATATAGAGGGAACAGCGTGAGCAAAGGTCAAGAGGCAAGTTAGCTCTTCAGGAGTGTGGTAGAGCTTGCTCAATCTAGCTTGTGAAAGCCAACTGGGCTTATCTCCTCGCAACTGCACGTGGTACAGATAGCTGGAAAGTGGCCATGTTGAAAGCACTCGGCCACAGGAGTGCACAAGTGAGCTTCAAGCAGTAAATAGGCGGTGAGCGCTTTGCGCTAGGCACTGAGAAGGGAGGATGCAGAGATGGGTCTGACACAAATAAGGGCTCCCTCCCCTACCCAGAGAGCTGGCTGTGAGCCATTTAGCAGGACACCACCATCACCACACTCCTGCCACCCCCTACTCACTGTACCCCAATTCCATGCAGAGATGAGGGGCCACCCTGCACATTCTCCTGGTCCAGACCCCAGAGACAGGGGCCTGTCAGGAGCCACTGGGGAGAAAGGGAACCTGGAAGCCGGGAACTGAGACTCAGGCATCTTCTTGCCAGAGTCCCTTCTGGACCTGTGCCACCCACGATGGCTTGTCCCTGCCCTGCTGTGTCCTAGAAAGTCATCAGCAGCTTGAGATGAATCTGCCAGGTCCCTTATATCATCCAAGGACCTGACTCTGGAGAAGGTACCGCCATAATGACCCCATACTTTCTACAGCAATGCGACCCCCTGGGGTCAAGGTCAGAAGTCTTTAAGAATGGATCGTGGCACCCCAGAGCCCTCCTCTGTCCCCAGGTAGTGTCTATTTCCTTAATTCAATGATTTATTTATCCATTTACCCAGCAGCCATATACAAATGCTCTGAGCTAGGCACTGGGTGGGAGGGGGATACACAAAACTCATGGGCTGGTAGGCTTCCTGAATGTATACAAGGACCCAGGACTCTTCCTGGTTCACCTCTCTTATCTCCAGAGCCCAAGAGTGCCTGGCACGCAGTGCGTGAACAATACATGGATGGATGGATGGAAGTGATTCAAAGTGGAAAGTAACCACTGAAGTTACCGTCACATTGTCATAGCAACAGCATCAGTTAAGACTACACATTCTGGTGCCAGACTGCCTGATTAGGATTGAGCCTTTTCTATTTCCTTGGGCAAGTTATCCTCTCCATGCCTCACTTCCCCATGTATAAAACGGTGACAATAACAGTATCATTTTATAGAACTGTTAGAATGAGTACTTAATGCATTGATCCTGGTAAGGTACTTAGAACAATGATTAGCACTTAGTACTATGTAAGTGTTAAATAAACTGCTTAAATAGCTCCTGCTTATTTTCTGTGTGCTCAGCATAGCCCATGCCATCGAAAATCCAAAATAACTCTCTGAGTGAGCTATGACTCTTTTAGTTTTATAGAAAAGCAGAAACTGAGGATCAGTTAGGCAACTCAGCAAGCAGGCTATGGACTTTCCCCAGCTGGGAGCTGTGCAGCTTAAAAGACCACTGCTGAAACCCATCAGGCTGAAAGTTTACATAAAGTGTACCCTGGCTGCCCTAGCTGGCACAGCCCACACCGTGCCTGACCTGGTCCAGGCATGGTGATTGGAGCTAACAAAGGGGCACAGGGCATAAAGCCTCTGCAAATTCCAGCGCTGCCCCACATGTCACTGGTTCCCAAGCCCTTCCGGTCCCCTGATTTTCCCCTTCACCCCATTCAGATCGCAGGGCAGAGTTTGCACTCCCTGTTAACTGCAAGGTAAGCCTGGCAGCAGGGAGATTGTGATTTGTCCGTCTCCAAGCAGATCAGGGACTCGGCCTAGCTCCCAACTCTGGATCTTCCTTATGGGTGTTCCAGCCTGTGGCCCTTCCTCCCCAGTGGTCAGGACGGTGGACCCTCCTGGAGAGACTCAAATGTAGACAGTCTGCAGTGTGTGTAGCAGGTCTCTCATGGTATTCCCAGCAGCCCCCAATGTCAGGGAATGAGCCGTGTCCCCCAGCTCCTCTCCTTGACACAAGTCCTCTTCGCAGCCTCAGAGTCCTCCCTCCAGCTCTGTTGGCTTAAGCCTCTACCTGGTGGCTCTCCCTCTCTGTGCCCATTGGTCAGCTGTGGCTGTCCTTCGAGGGCAGTGGCATTTCGCATTTTTCTCCTACCCCTTACGAAACCCACGTCACCGACTCTTCGCCTCTGAGAAATTCTCCCACTCAGAAGACATTTTAATTACCCCAGCTGCCATTATCTGTTCCAGCCAGCTTTGAGCCATTCCCAGATAACCCCGCGTTAATCAGCCCCAGCTGAGCCCCTGGTACATGTCATGTGTAGGTAAAAGCCTGGAGGTGAAAAAAGAATTATAATAAATTAATAGATAAGCAATCACAATTAATGCCACTTCCCGGCAATAACAGTTATATCATGGGAAAGATATTTTCATCTGTCATTCCTTGAGGCGATGTTTTCCGAGCTTCAGTTTCTACCCATTCAGACCCATGGGGTGCTAATGAATTAGTCTATTATGTTATGCTGAATGTTTCTAAAAGGTCCCTCGTTGATACTGAATTCAGTGTGTCAACATTTGGCATTGGAAATGCAACTTTTTGCCAAGTAGCAAAGTTGCCCAAGGTTCACTGTGTACAGCACTTGGGGTCTTGGCCCAGGGTAGTTTGAACAACAACAAAAAAAATTGGAGCTAAATAAAGAGGCCTCTTTACCAACACTTCATTGCCTCTGCCCTCATGTCACATGGAGGCATTCTGTGCCACCAGCTCTACAAAACTAACTCCAGGCTAGCAAGGGACCAGGAGGAGGGCGATCCCCAGCCCTGCCACCTATCAGAAGGCTGTGACTGTCTTCACCAAGCAAACACTGTATGAGGACACTGGGAGGACCGGCTTCACTGGCACCGAGCTCTCAAAGACAAAGCTGCACACCTCAGACAGTCCGGTTGGCCCCTGGTGCCGAAGGAGGACGCACTAAGCCTCAGAGACCCTGAGAGGCCACCTGCTTAGGCATCTGTCAAGCCTTACCTGGGAGGTCAGCACTGATCAGAGAAGAGCCTGTGCCCACTACAGAGAAGGGTAAAGAGGGCTCCCCGAGGAGCAGAACTCACTTCTCTTCCTGGCCCCAGGAGCTCATCTGTGATCCCAAACTTGCACGTGCCACCCTGCAAAACAAAATTCATCCAGCTCCCCAGATCCTCCTCGGAAGTGGTCTGAGGGAGATCTCTCGGTTCTGGGTGTTGAAGCAGACACATCTCAAGCAATCAACCAAGCCACTCCCAGCTTCTTGCCCCATCCAGAGCTCCTTGTGGGGTGGGGGCCATGTTTAAGTGCCCCAGGGAGCTGCTGGGCTGGCCAATCTTTCTTTCCACCTTGGGGCCAAGACTGCTCAGGACCCTTGTAGAGAAAACAGTCCCAGGCCCAGACAGTTGTAACCAGAGACCCAGAGCACCCCTGCCCTACTCTGCTGTGCAGCATGGAAGGGTAGTCCAGGGAGGATTTCAGGGAGGAGGAGGAGGAGTGACAGCTGTGCTGAATCCCAGAGAGGGGAGGAGCTGAGAAGACAAGCCTTCCATCAGGGAAAGAGGTGCACAAAAATCTCAGACCCCGGGGAAGAGGCCAGTGAGGGAGGGGGCGGAAAGTAGTTTGGCCTTCCTGGAGCAAAAATTGGGAGGGCTGGGCCAGAAAGTGAGACTGGAGCAGTCTCTAATCTATACTGAGATGATAGGAGCCATGGGGGGAAACACACACACACACACACACACACACACTGGGGCTTGAATCCCCAGACTTTTTATTTTTTGAGACAGGGACTCACTAAATCACTAAACTGCTCAAGCTGGGCTTGAAATTGTGATCCTCCTGCCTCAGCCTCCTGGAGTGTTGGGGTTACAGGCATGTAATCGAAGGTGACACCTTGCATGTAATACTTTAAGGAAGGTAATAATAAAGTTGGATTTACACTAGAGAAAAAGTCTACTGATAATGGCAATGTCCAGTGAGCAGGAGAATACCGTTTAATACTTACTGCACAGGGGAAGTGTGAAGACTAAACCATACACTCCCTGTATGGCCTGAGCATGTGCTCACCCTCTGCTCCCCCCTGAGATGGACACTCTCTGGCCATCTCAGCAGGGACCCTGCTTCACTGAAGACCCTGCCCCCTCCTGCTGTCATTCAGTCTCTTCCCCTCCCCAATTCCTGGGACAGAACCAGAATCTTGTCCCTCTGTATCTAAGAAGGGTTGATCCCAGGACCTCAGCAGACACTCAAATCTGCTGATGCTCAAGTCCCTTACATAAAATGACATAGTATTTGGATGTATACACACCCTCCCGTGTACTTAACATCATTTCTAGATTACTTGTAATCCTAATACAAGGTAAACACTGTGTAAACAACTTCTACTATATCCTCTAGGGAATGGTGACAGGGTGGGGGGAGTCTACGTGTTCTGTTTAGACAGAAACTTTAGAACACATTTTTTATCCAAGGTTAGGTGACTCCCTAGATGTGGAACTGTGCATCTAGTAGGCCAACAGTGTTTGTTTGGGCAAGGTTAGGACTAGACTTTCTTGCCTAGATTTAAGTGTGCTCCAAGCTTCTCCTCTGTTCCATAGTCCTTCAAAGAAGAAATCAACATAGCATCTTCCAGAAGGGGGATGTTAAGAGGGTGCAGGGAAAGCAGGAGTTTAGCATCAATTAGGAACATCTTCGAAACCACGGGGCGCCAGCACAGTGAGAAAGCTCTATACTCTGTGGGCTCCGGCTTTCATCGCTCATCATCTTTGCATGAGCTGTCATTGACTGAACTGAGGTTGGACGTCAAGATGGCAGCAGCCATGGAGAATCAAGAGCAGCCATCAGGGTCCCCAGACATCTCTCTGGGCTCAGGATGAGTAGGGATCCGAGGGAGATAACAGGCCGGGCACCAGAGAAGGAGCTCTGACCATGACCTACTTCACACTCAGTCTCCCTACTTGCGAGAGGAAGCCAATCTAGATTGTCAAGGTATGGTGATACCTCAGTTCACGAACTTGATACTTTCCATGATTCCAGCCGCTGAGTTGGAGGAGAACCAAATCAAATTTGATGCTTAGGTTCAAGGTTGGCTGTGTGGGGAAATGTGATGTAGCAGTTCTAAGTCTGTCTGTGACCAGAATTGTGGAGAGAATTGAGTTGGTGAACGGAGGTACCCCTGTATAGACTGCTAGAAGTCAGGCACATGATTCTTCCGCAAATGTGGCCCAAACACGTTGCAAAGACGGGAGGGCCCTGTGGACGGTGAGTCTGACCTGCTGAGCAAGCAAGGAACTGAGTGTTCCTGGTTATTTCAAGTGTGGGTGGGTGGGGGGTGGTAGACTAAGACTATTAGGTTAGACGCAAAATGGATTAATCTCCCACAAAGCAGTAAAGCCACGACCTTGGGATTATCTTTTCTACGGGGCACAAATCTACACGTTTACCCAGAGTCCAGGCCTTTAAGCAGTAGCTAACAGCAAAGTCAAAGGCAAGGATGCTCCCCTGGGGAGTTAAGTAATCCTGGGCGGTGTGGGTTGGCAATGTTTGCTTGTCATGCTGAAAGAATATATGGTTCCCCTTTTGCCTATTTCCAAGTCTGGGATTGTTTTTAACAGGCCCCAATCTCCGCTTTGCTCCTCTGAGGGTTGCCCATACTACTTTGCTGCTGTTTTCTCTCAGCCCAGAGGAATCTGGCTCCTCCTCCTGCTGCCCCTTCTTCTTGGGCTCCTCCCCTCACCAGCCCCTCCCAGCCCCAGAGCTCCCACTGCAGGAAGAGCTGGGACTGGGCTGCCCAGGCGTTAACACCGTGTTCTCCTGCACCAGGCTGGACTCGGCCTGACCCCTGGATAGACAGGCTGACCATTCATTGCCTGCCTGTCCCAGGTGACAAGGTGAAAAGGCCCTGGCTCTGACTTGGGTGGTGAAAGAGGTGGGAGGACTCCTTGAGTCCCCTCTTTATCCCCTGTTTTAGGGAAAGAAATATTCTGAGTGACTTGGTTGTCTCCAGACTGTGTGCTCTTTGTTTTCCCAAACAAAGAAGGTCCGCTGTGGTGGACAAGCAGGATTAAGCATTTCTGAGTCACGATTGCTGAGCATTTCCAGTAAAGTTTCACCAGGTCCTGTAAAGGGGATGACCCCCATTTTGCAGAAGAAATAGGCTGAGGGCCCTCCGCCGGCATCATCCTCGCAGACGGAGGTTCTGAGTTGACTGCAAGTCCAGTGCTCCCGTAGGTTCTTCTGTTACTTCCCCCAGGACCCTGGGGTGGCCCTCACTAGGGAGGATGCAGAAGGTGGGGCTGGAGCTCACCTGAGAGGCCACACCTGGATTTACACGAGCCTCTCCCTGCAGGATCTCTACGCGCTAGACCTGGAGCCCTACCGCTACTCAGGGGTGAACCTGACGGGGTTCCGCATCCTCAACGTGGACAACCCCCACGTCTCGGCCATCGTGGAGAAGTGGTCCATGGAGCGGTTGCAGGCGGCTCCCCGGGCAGAGTCCGGGCTGTTGGACGGAGTGATGATGGTATAGCGGGCATGTGGGCCGAACCCCGGGGCTCCCCCTTTCCTTCTGCTGTCCCACCTTCTTCTCCTTCCTTCCCTCCCACCACTTCTTAAGACCTGCTGGACTGAGCCAGACCCCAGAAGAGGGGCCTGGGACACAAAGATGAGTCACACCCAGTCTCTGTGCCTGTTTCCTTTGGGGTCAGTGGGCTCCATGGGATGGTCTTATAGGTGATGAGGGCCGCAGCAGGTGGGAGTGCGGTCGTGTAAACAACTGGTTACAGATACCAGGGATAAGGACTTGGGATCCTGGGCTGGAGGAACTTTCTGGGGAGGTTGCAATGGACGGGGGTGGGGTTGATCAGGCCTAGGACTCAAGGGCTCAGATTGCCCTCAGACAGGCCCTGGTCCTCCCTGCAGACCGACGCCGCCTTACTGTACGACGCTGTACACATCGTATCCGTGTGCTACCAGCGGGCTCCCCAGATGACGGTGAACTCCCTGCAGTGCCACCGGCACAAGGCCTGGCGTTTTGGTGGCCGCTTCATGAACTTCATCAAAGAGGTGAGCCCCGGGAACCCCACCTGGAGAGGCCCTGGGGCCCCCGATGCTCCACAGCAGCAGAACGCTGGAGAGCCAGCCGCGAGTCAGGAGCCAGGCTGACTTCTCTTTGGTAAGAACCTCAAGGCTGCCTCAAGTCTCCAAGCCTTGGTTTCCTTGGGTAAAAAATGGTGCTCCTTAGGCCCAGTTTCCCAGGTGAGTGAGCGCCCGAGTCCTTGGTCCACAGTGAGTGCACATTAGGGGGTCAGTTTTGTCAGTAGGTTTCAAAGTACAACAGCAACCCACAGCAAGCCAGAGGGCCTTGACAGCCTCAGTGGCCTGACCTGTAAAATGGGGCGTGAAGCACAGCCACCGCATGGAGATGCTGTGAAGGGGAAGGGAGAGGCCACACGGGAAGCAGTAGGGCAGCGTGGAGGCCTGATAAATAGTAATCGACCACATGAACTCATCTTCACGCCACGAGCCCACCAGCCAACTTCCCATGGGGCCCCAGCAGGGCCCCTGTTCTGGCAACTGTGAGAATCCACCCACAGAACAGATTTCAGAGCAGCAGAGAGCATGAAACCTGTCCTGCTGCTGAGCTGACCACGAAACGGTGTCTGCTTTTAACTTCAAATGATTCTCTATTTGCCACCATCCTTGTAATCTTTGCAAGTCAGAGTTCATCGTTGCCATTTTACAGATGGGAGAAGCTGAGCCCCGGGTTTGCATCCTGGCTCCATTGCTCTGGGTTGTATGACTTGGGGGGAGATGACAAACCCCTGATCTTGAGAAGGCAACAATGCCCGCCTCAAGGGGTTGTTGGAACACAGACTGAAAAATTGTGTGCGGAGTACCTGGCCCAAGTCACAGCCCAGGAAACAGCAGATGGAGAAGACTAGAGGATGAGATCCCGGCAGGGTTACACTGGGCCACAGGAAGTGACCACGGCCAGGTCAATAAGAAAGACATCAGGGGAAGCCCTCTCAGGGGACTCCGGATAGATCACCTCTCTGTAACAAACATAGGGGACCAGAAAGGAAGTGAGCTGCCGTGGGAGTTCATTGGGATGCAGGGTGCTTGGCACTGAGCTATGCACCAGGCAGCCAGTGTGGCTGAAACAGATGAGTCCCACGCACACGGAGCACTCAGCCCCGGAAGGGAGACAGCACTCCCCACGCCAAGGTCTTATGAATACAATCCAGTGTGCGAAGGAAGGTGCCTTGAGGCCCAGGTTAGGGTACCCTGGCCCAGGCCCAGTGAATGACCCTCACCACTCACACCCCTTGGAGTTCCCGTGGAAAACACTCCTCTTAGTGCCCCAGTAGGGTTGTTGAGGCCAAGGGTGGAGCGGCCACAGGGCTCACCCTTGGTCCCACAGCTGGTCACTACGAGAAGCCAGGTGCCCCGCAGAAGCCCAGCACACAGTCTTACCTGGGTTCATTTCCAAGTTGCCTGTCTCCCCATCTGACTGCGTGACAGTAAATCATTTTAAAGACTTGGCATTTCCGAGAGGAGCTGGAAAATACCAGGCCGGAGTTCAGAGCGTGCGAAGCATCTTTCATTTAGCGAGTCCTGTGCTGTGGCTGGAGGGGGCGGGCGGGCCGGGAAATGTCAAGGGGGAGGAGCCGCCCTCGGCTCCCTGCCTGGCTCCTGCTCTCCTGCCCACGGGTTGGCCACACCCGCTGGCATTTCCTGCTTCTGTAGCTGACAGGCGAAGGCTTCCTTCGAGCTGGTTTGAAGGCCCCTGCTGTGATTTCTCCTGGGGGCCAGCAGATCGCTGGAGGGTGTAGGGCCGCCCAGGAGAACAGGGAGTGACTGAGACCCAGCCAGAGGGAAAAGGAACCTCCCTGTGAAGTCGTGAGCGGAGGTTTTCACCTTCTCTGCTGCAGCTTTTGATCTCTGACCCCTGCCTCCCAGCTCCCTGGGCGACTTGAGCTTTCCCTGCTGCACCCTGGGTTCCCCAACCCCAAGCCTCCCCGCTCAACTACTACAGTGAGAGACTACCGTGCCCCACCTGAACTTGTTGTCTGCCTAGCCCAGTCCCGCTTTGAGCTTCAAAAGCTGGCAGGATCGCAATGCAAACTCAGGGGACTCTTACAGGGAAGGGTAATAAACAGCCGTCTCTGATCAGCTTCCAGCCCAAGTGACTGCTCCTCTTCCCTGGGCAAGGCCAGCCCTCATCCTAGGAGCTCCATGTGTAGAAGCAACAAAGGAGAAATGATAAACTGCACCTCTTAGTCGTGATTGTAAATGCAGGCATCGTGCTGAGCACTCTGCAAACCTCTTTAAAAACCTGTGATGTTGGTAGCACATCCCTGCACCTCAGAGAGCTGAGATTACCTGAGCAAAGCCTTCTTGTTCTGACCTCTTCTGTTCTGTAGCACTCCCCAGCCCCTCTGAGGCTCTGTCCCTCTGCCTTCCTAAGACACCCAACTGTCCAGACACCCAATACCTGGGAGACTTTACAGTGCCCCAGAGCTGCCCATGTGCATGGAGGCTCCCAAGGGTTTAGTTGGGATCCTATGAACCCAAGAACTTGTGGGTGTGTGTATGGAGGTGCTGACCTGTTTGTTCAGGAGGGGGCTGGAGCCCCTCAGATATACAGCAGCCTGGCCTGAGGGCCCAGGGAGCAGTGTGGCAAAGCCAGGGCTCAGCCAGCTTTCTAGCGCTCAAGTCTTCTACTCCCCACACCTCTTCTCCGAATACCTCCTCCTTCTGGACCATGCCGCCCCAGGTTCTGCCCTCTCTTCCTACTCCACAGGCCATCTTTGCCCCCCAGACTCTAATAAGACACATGAGCTTTGTTCTTCTCCCAGACACAGAAAGTTTGGGTATTTCACTGCATCCCAGCTACCATGCTATGTCTAAGGAGGAGAGAGAAGAGGAGACTGGTGCTGACTAAGGGGTGGCCCTGAGCCCAGAGTTCCCATCTGCCTCTGCTTTCTGTGCGCTGGGTGAGCTGGAGTGGCTCCTGGTCCCCTCCCCCCGGGCTGCCTTCCAGCCTCTACAGTGGAAATCACAATCCTCCCCTGGCCACATCCCAGGGGAGCTGGGGAGGTCACATCCAAGAAGAGCGGCCATGTCTTGAGGAGTTAATGCTTTGGGCCCACAGGAAAGATAGTATCTGGAGCAGACCTCTTCCTAAAGGGCAGAGAGGGAAGAATTCAGCCTTTGCAGGCCAGGAGGTCTCTGTCTCAAAGATTTCCCTCAACAGCCACAAAGCAAAAGCAACCAGAGGGTACCCATAAGCACATGGGCCCCACTGGGTGATAACCAACTACTTAGAAAACTTGGCAGTGCCAGTCCTGCCACCCTGGCTGAGAAGATAGAAGCTTCCCTCAGTCTGGTCTGCCCAAAGTCCTTCTGCTTCTTTCTGGAGTCGTGGTGCTATTGACAGTTTTTAATAGAAGTGACCATTTATCTAGGTTTTGTGTGTGTCGGGCACTGTTCTCAGTGTCTTACAGGACTGATTTCACCCTCACAATATTTTGGTAAAATGAGTACTAACTGAGGAAACTGAGGCACCGAGGTGAGGTGGAATGCTCAAGGTCACAGCTAACTGTGGTCGAACCTAACACTGACCCGAGAATCCTAAACCAGAATATGCATGGACTTGGGGCGGGGGTGGGGGGTCCTCAGTCTCCCCTGTCCCTGTAAGGGATGCTCCAGCCATCTGGTTCTATATCCAGAGCCAGCCCGTCCCTCTGGCTTTTCAGCCTCTAGGCCGGTCTGCCTGCCCCAGCCAGCTCTGCCCTGCTGCCTTCCTGCCCCTCCCCAGGGATCTGGCAGGGGCTCCCCCTTCCCATGGCTCTGAGGCGGGGGCTCATTTGAGCGCATCCAAGATCGATGTTGTACACGAGAAGGTGCGATGCAAAGCTGGCTAAAGAGCATAATAGAATTTATGGAAATTGCTGGCTCGCACCGCAGCCCGAGCAATGATGGAGGTGATTATTAATTAATCATGGTCTTGGGGGAACAGTATCAGTGCAAGGAGTAATTAAAATGAAGCATTGTACAGTTGTACCGAATGATGATTTATGAGCCCGAGGAATTGCCACTCTGCCCTCTCGCCTTCGCAGGCTCAGTGGGAAGGATTAACTGGACGGATTGTTTTCAACAAAACCAGTGGCTTGCGGACAGATTTTGATCTGGACATCGTCAGCCTGAAGGAGGATGGCCTAGAGAAGGTGCGTAGACCCAGGAGGGAGGTTGGTAGGAGGGCAAGAGGCAGAGAGCAAGATCTGGTGTATCTGCCTCCAAAAGGTTCAGCACACCCCAGATCGAGGGCCCAGCAGAAACCCTGAGGCTGTGGCCACACTGAGGGGTACAGGACTCTGGCCTGGCTACAGCAGACACCCAGTCCAGCACTCTGATCCACATCCATTAGAGGTGCTTAACCTGGAAAATATGGTAAAAGGGCTCATGGGGCAGATAGACCATTTCTGGGTGGCTGCAGGCCTGACATGGCGCAGAGGGGACAGATTTGTCCTGTATAAAAAACTTTCTAACCCACAGGGGACCCCTGCCTGGGGAGTAGTGGAATTCACAAGATGTCCATTGCTCTTCTGGGAGCCTGGAATTCTTACCCTTGAAGGTTAAACACGTGGCCTGAGCTCCTCCACTCCCATTTCTAAGGCCTCTGCTTCCAGAGAGTTTAGACAGGGAAAGCAAGCCCACCTGAGGCTTGGGCTGCCCAGGAGGCTAAGGTAAGAAGGTTTAAATGAGGCCTGTTCTGATCCCTTGAGCCTTCAGCATGTTCTGTCAATCAGTCTGCTAAGCTGAGGAGAATGTAACACGAGCCCCGACATCTCAGCATTCCCTGGGACCCAGGGACCAGAGACTCAACCACACCCGTCCCACAACAGGCTGGTCCTTGGGAGGTACTATGTGTTTCTCCAACCCTGAGAGAAGACATGTATAAGATGCAGGGAACAGAGGCCAGGAAGGTTCAGGGGGACCCTCTGATGTCACTGGGCCTTCAAGGAATTTCCTCTCTTCTCACCCCTGTATTCCCCAGCTTGGCCCCTGATGTGCATAATTTTAACCCCTGTCCTGATTTTCCATCTCACTCTGGAGCCCTCCAAGCATCTCAAGTGTGCACACAGGAAGCTTCTCCGAGTACAGCTCTGCCTTGCTCCAAAACTGTCTATGGCTCCCCTGTGCCAAGTCACTAACCTTCAGCCTCTCAGTTGGGCCTTCAAGGCTCCCTGATACATACCCCACCAGGCCTCCCAAACCTAGTCTCAGTTGCTCTTGAGTCCACAGCTTGTCACTCCTGCCCTCCCACACCTCTGCCGGTGTCCATGCCATGTCCTGGGTTGTAGAATGTGATCTCTTGCCCTCAATCATGGATCTGGCTCAGAGCAATGTCAGCATTGTACCTGCCTCCCAACTCACGGGGCAACTGTGCAGAGTAGGAAATGGCTAGGGAAACCTCACCATTCTTCCACCCCATACTGAATTAGCTCTCTGAGGCAGAAGCCGAGGCCTCTATCCTGACATCAAAGCAGACTGATCCAACCCCATGCAAACTGAGTCTGCAAACTCTTGAGTCTTCTCCCAGTCATCTTCCAGGTTGTGTACCTACCCCCTTCCCCCGCAGGGGTGAGAGCAGCCTTCCTTCTCTGCGGTACTGTACTGGGAATAGCATTCACTCAACTAGCTGCCCATTTCTAAGGACAGCCTAGAATTCTAGTGATGGCAGTTAGATGGCACACATGTCACCACTTCCCATTTCTGTGCCTGTGGCAGGCATCAGCAGTTGATCGCTGGAGCACCCTTTCCATCTGAGCCTACCTTCAGCATCCTCCCAGCAACCCTCCAGGCATCTGGCACAAATTGACCATAGCTGATGTGTAAAAAAATCTCTACTATCCCTAGATGTAGTCTGGCCTGCAGGGCACCCACCAGAGGCTCCTGGTCACAGCCAGCTGGACCAGCAGCAGAAAGCTGCCTGCATCCTAATGGCTCTCTCATATCTGTAGCACCCGACTTCTAGCAGGGCATGGGGCTGGAGCTCAGCAGAGCTCGCTGGGCAAGGGGCCCCACCATGGATTCAGCCTGACTAATGTCTGCTGAGTACCTCCTGTACCCAGCGCTCTGCTGCACACCCTAGCACTGAGCTTGACCCACTTAGGGAAAGAGTATCTTTGATGCTGCCTGCCTGTCCCCTCTCTTCATAGCCTCAGTGGTCTCCTAAGCAGAGATCCTGTCCCCCGAGCAGGTGCCAAGCCCAGACACAGCCACTGTGCCTCTCATGTCATCACTTATGTTTGCTAGGCTGGGTCATAGCTGATCCAGCCAGCTCCAGCCAGTGGCTTTGGGAGGATTAAGACAGAATTACCCAAGCATAATTACATCTCTCTCTGCTATCTGCTTTGCACAGCTCTCTGAATGTGATGTTTGCATTCGGCCTTTTTGTGTAATTGATTGAGTTTCCTGAGTACCCCCCATCTGGGCCAAGGACAGAGTGGGCATGCAGAAGGCTTTCTTGAGAGACAGCATCCGGGATAGGGTAGGCTGGGCAGGTTGGGTCAAAAGGGACCTTCTAAAGGCTCAGGGTTTGAGGATGCCTTGTAAATGTGATCTTTCCCTTGCTCCCTCCTGCCTCAGGCTCTATATCAATGACACTGTAGGGAGAGATTTTGTCACCATGGCCAGGATGTCCGCCAACTTCAGAAGTAAAACTACAAAGCAAATTGCCTTCAAGCCCAGTGGCACCCAAGACCCCCAACAGGCTCGCCCTGCCTCACACTACCAGTTCCCAAATAGCTTCAGAGAGCACACGCACACACGCATTCAACACTCCAGCCTGCCAGCTGCTCCTCCTTTTCTCAGTCTACACATGTCTGGGGAGCAACTACCTAGGTCCAGCCCATTCTAGGCTTTGGAAGGCATCTGGTTCCTATAGCTAGCACCCAGGCTGAGGCCCAAAGAGTGAGCAACAGGGTACCAGGAATCTTGCCAAGAGGTGTCCCCAGACAGGACCTGTGCTAGGCATCTTCTCTGTCCCAGGTTGCTTTCCTAGCTCCCTAGAGCTGCTGCTGCATTTCCTGTCTGACTCTGCATTTTCCTTCAGCTGGGCCGAATCTGCCAGCAAAAGGAGCGGGTGGCAGAATTCAGCATGGTCAATGCTTAGGGAAGGGTGGGGGTCAGCAAGGTTACCTGTCATCAGGGTGGTTAGCAGATGATGATGACGATGACTGGGAAGGAGTTGGTCTTGTTAATGTGGAGAAGGAAAGGGTAGACTGAGGACTCAGCACCCTGTCTTTGTCTTTCTGTCCATGCAGGTGGGTGTGTGGAGTCCTGCTGATGGGCTCAACATTACGGAGGTTGCCAAGGGCCGAGGCCCTAACGTCACTGATTCTCTGACAAACAGATCTCTCATTGTCACCACTGTGCTGGTAAGAACCTGCCATCCCCGCGGGAATACTGTCTGACTCAGAGCGGACAGACCACTCGGGTTAGAGAGGCTCCTCCTCTCTCCCCACTTGGTATATACTGGCCACCTCTAATGAGGTTTCTGGGAGCCTGAAGGTGATGGCATGGGGCTGTGGGAAGATGCAAAACTTAGCGTCTCTCAGAAAAGTCTTAGAGAGCAACTGCTTAGACCATAATTGGGGTCAAAGGCAGGAGGTCAAACTTCCCCTTGCAGGACTCATGACTGCCTCTCCACCTTGGTTCCCAGGGCAAAGGCCCTTCCCTCCATCCCTGCAGGATCCCTCCAGCTGTGACAGGTGCTGTGGCCAGATCCAGAGAGCCTGGTGGGTGCCGTGCTCGGCAGTGTCCCATCCCAAAAACTGGTACCACGACCCCACTGCCTGAATGGACTTGCATTCCAACCTCTCCCCATGCCTTCCTCTCTCCTTCACTCTTTCTGCTCCTTCAGAAGGAGGATTGAGCCCTGATTCTCTCTTCTGACACATTTTGAGGGACCTTCTCAAGGTCACAGCACTGCTCTTGGGGGCCCAAACTGAACCAATTTTGGAGAGGCAGCCCGATCACTCAGATTGGTAGAATCTGACCCCAGACCCTTTGAAAATAATTCTGACCTTCGTCAGCTTCTCTTTATAATGCAGCAAATAAATCTGTAATGACCATGTGCTATGGTTGTTCATCTACACAGAAAGGAGCTCAGCCTATTTGGGGTTAAGTAAGGCTGCCATGGAATGGGGCTGGGACACAGGCTGAGCGGCTGTTCCCTGGTGTCCAGCTCATCCCCGGACATTGGTGACATTGGATGAGCAGAGGCAGGCCCCCTTGGACGGTCACCCTGTCCTCCCTACATTGTGTCTCGCCATGTAATGCTCAGTGGCTGGGTGGTGGGCACCGTGGACAGGTAAGGATATGACTGGAAAACATTCCATTCTTCTAGGATTCCCAGAAACCACAGACAGCAAGGGTGCTCTGGGTGCCTGGGGAGGAGCTAGTGTGTGGGTCTCAGTCTCCAGGGCTGTGATCACTGACCAGTTCCTTGAAAAGTAACAGAGCTCTAATGGTGATTATAGATGGGCTGCTGGTGCAGTTAGAGAAAAAGGGCTGGGGGAAGCCCATCTTTGGTGAACACACCCACTGGAGTCTTGCTGACGGCCACACATCCTATCCACCTTTACGGACCCACGTTTTGTTAACTAGGCAAATATAGAAATGACGCTACTGAAACCATTAAGTCAGAACAGGAGATAAACTGTAATGTAAAAATATAAAAGATAAAAATAAACAAGAAGAGCAAGGGGATTAGAGTAATACTGATGAGCAATTAAAGGAATATGAATGCGGATAAAAATAGAAAAGATAAAGGGAGAGTTAAAGGAGAGTAAAGTAAAAAGGTTAAGAGGAAAATAATGAAGAGAAATGAAGGTAAGGAATGAGATAACAGGAAAGTTATTAAGAAAGACGAAAAATTAAATAATTTACAGCTCTGACTAGACAAGGTAAAAAATGTTAAACCAAAATGTCAAAAAGCAAAAGGATAAAAGTGTGACAGAGCTACAATATAAAAGGGTAAAAATAAAACAATAAAAAGGTGGTAAAAGATTAAAAGCAGAGCTGCATAAAATGTGAGATATAAATAAAGCACTTTTTGCAAGGCAAGATTAAAAAAGGGTAAAGCTAGTATGATTTAGGAGATTAGGAGGAGAGATGATTAAATGAATGAAGGTGATTCACCACAAAACAAGACTCCAAACAGGAGGAGGTAAGCTAAGGATAACATCGCAGAAGGATGCCAGACACAGCCACCTTGAAAGGCCATAGGGTTAAATGTTATTCAAGTGGTAGCCATCGGATGGATTCAAGGGCATGAAACCCTTCTGCAGAGACACAAGGGATTTTTTTTTTTCCTACACGAGAAGAGGCAGAACCCTTCATGCGGTTGACCTACCAGTCTTCAGGCTTCTTCATCAACACTCAGAGCTTCTGCAAAGGTCCCAACTGTACTCACTGTCCCCGAGGTCCCGCCCACAGCGTCCAGCTGGTTCCGCACACCATGACGGGATGGGAAGGAAAGAAGACCCGCTTGGCTTACTGCCTGGGCATGGCTCTATCTTCTCCACTGCCCCTCACCTCAGGGGATCAAAGCAGACACGTGCCCAGTGGCTCTTGGGGACCTACAGGGTGACCAGGGTATAGGGGCAGGGCTGGGCAGTGGCTCCCAGCACAGAACTTTTGGGTGAGTCCGGGCTCGCTGTTGACTTACTGCACGCCCCTGAGACATGTTTATTCGTCTGTGCGTGTCTCCTGGCTGAAAAATGAAGATATGATAATAATCGTACCTACTTCATAGAGTTGAGAGATGAGTGGTTAATAAGTGTAAACGGCATGGAGCTGAGTGCTAAATGATAGCTGTTATTGTCATTCATGGCTATTGATTAAAAATCCAGACCCCGGTGAGCTCAGGTTGAATACACAGCTGAGAGTTGTATAAGAAATCTATGCTCCTGTCCACAGGCAGAGTCCAAGGCTGACCATGGTCACAGTGATCGTCCCTTGCTCAGGGCCCAGTGTGTTATAAACTCTGAACAGACCCCACCACTCCCTTGTGTTAATCTGGCTGCTCTTTTTAAGTATTAGGGAACAAACCCAGGCGTGCTCTACCAGTAAACTGCACTCCCAGCCTTTTCACTTTTTTGAGACAGTGTCTTGATAAATTTCCCAGGCTGGGTTTGAACTTGCCAAGCTTCTGCCTCAGCCTTCTGAGTAGCTGGGATTACAGGTGAGTGCCACTGAGCCCACTTTGTCTGCTTCTTTTAACTTTCGTTTTGATCTGGTCCCTGAAGTCATTAACCTCCAGAGCACCTCCATAGCTCTGGTCTCGTACAGACATTGAACTCCCAGATTGCCTACTACCTCGTCCCTCCCTTAGCCAGGATCTGAGCTTCTGCACCTGGCACCACATTAATTCCATAGCCCTGGCCCTGTCTTGACCTCTGACCTGGCTGCTGACTCACCTAAAGTTGATGTCCCATGGCCAATGGGCAGCACGGACCACCCCCCAGGATCAGATACTCCTGAAGCCCGAGGGTGACCTAGAACCCTCTTTTCTCCATCCTCACTGTCCAAGGATCAGTGGAAGGTCACTTCTGTTCCTCCTTTGGAGACAGTGAGGAAAGTCGCTCTTCCCTGGAGACAGGGAAGGGGAGGGGATGACCTCAGGTGGATGTGACACATGACCTTTACACAGGTGGCCAGGACATTCTCTCTGTCCAGCCAGGTCTCCTGGGAGAAAGGCGCTGCTCCAGGCACTCCCGGGAAGGGACGGAAGGGATCAGAGTGGCCTGCACCGCAGAGCCCTAGGAGACACCCCTCAGGCTTAGGATCTTAGGAACAGCTGTACAGGCCGAAGGGAGTGGCCCAGCCTGGCGCAGGCCTAGCTGCTTGGGCCAAAAACCCAGCCCCATGCTTGGCAGCCTAACTGCAGGGTAGCACCTCCCGCTGTGAACTCAGGCTCCTGCCTGGCTGCCTGTGCGTTGTCAGGGTAACAGTATTCTGAGTGACAGGCAGGTGCCAAGACACAGGACAAGTACATCAAATTGCTTTGCCCCTAGGGAATGAGGCCTGGAGCCAAGACCCCTGGTAAGAAGCATTTCCCCTCCTTTTTCTTCTCCCAGGATCTGAATACAGCAGACAGCAGCAGCTCTGTGTGTGCTGTCCCTCTGAGCCTCCTTCTATTCTTTCCTGTTCTGAACCTGGGTTTAAGGATGCCCTGCCCTGGATAGAGAGAGCATAGAAGCCAGCCCCGCCCAGAGCACTCAGAGCGCAGGCGCCTTCCCCACTCCTAAGTGGGAACCACAGCAGGGGCCTGGGAGCCTGCCCTCCCTGCCCTCCCCGTCGGCCCCAGCCTCTGTTCCGGCTCTGCTCTTCCATGCGCTCATGAAAAATTCATCTGCCCAACCTCAGCTCACACACGGAGAAAGCACACCCGATTCACTCCTGGGGCCCTGCTTTTGAAGGTTCAGGGATCTTTTGGCTGCTGCTGTGAGCAGCATGTGTGTGTGTGTGTGTGTGTGTGTGTGTGTGTGTGTGTGTATCTGTGCGCATTTGTGCGCGTGTGTGTGCATGTGTGTGGTGGGGCAGGGTGGTACCACCTACACGTGGGGTTGATAATGTGTTTGTGCTGAGTGTGTATCGTGACCCACATAGACACAGCTGCCATGTAGGCTGGACCCTTAGCTCCCAGCATCAGGAGACAGGGAAAGCCAAGGAGAGATGTGGATCAGGAGACCAGTCTCTGCCAGGCACCATTCTGGGCCGATGAGGACCCCTAAGACTGTCTTGTTCTAAGCCATAGAAGCCAAGGCCTTAACGCTGAGCCACTTGGCCTGTGTAACCCAGCCAGGCTGTGCAGAGAGAACATCTGAGCAAGTGGGCTTTTTGTGCCAGTGGCATTGTTCGCACATGAGCAGCTCATGTACATGTGGGTTGATGTTGCCTCGGTCAGTTTGGGGCTTGAAGATGCATCTACTAGGTAGAGAAACACCGAACCAGGGGATGATCTCCAGCATCCCTCCTCCAGGCCACAGTCCTGTCACTGAGAAGCTTAGCTAGGCCTGGCTTTCACGCTGGTCTAAGTGATTGTACAGAAACCAGACCAAGAGGAAAGTCGGAAAAGGTTATTTTTCTGGACCCCTGTTTTCTGTGACTTGTTGAAGAGAAATATTACCCCTGGTCCTACGGCTGTTCTCCCAGAGCAATAGGAGAGCGTGAAGTTATGAAATTGAGGGCACCTTCACTGAGCAATCGATTAGCAGCCGAGAGAGCTTGTGAATTGGCTGTCTGGACATTTCCAGTAATAAATTGTGAAATAGTCCATGAATAAGTAGTTGGCGGAGTTCAGAATTACCCCCTAGGAAATGTTGCAGGTCTGGAGACACATTACTAAGGCGAGCACCATTTTAATGCTCTGGGCTTTGGCTGTTAAATATGTATGCCATCCGCAAAGCACTTCCCGAAATTAATGGCATTTTACAGCTGCTCCGAAGGCAGCGTATTTATATGGAGATGTATAGATTCTGGGGCTGTGGTGGCTTCACAAATGAAGTGCTAATTTTAGAGAGGGCTGGGGAGGAGTATAGAGAAGGGTCCGGAAGTGAGACACCTCAGGGACCTTTCCAAAATAGTTCTCCACCCCATGCCCCCACCAGGTCTTTATCTTTGGTGACATAGGGTGTGGTCTCTAGGCTGAAACGGTCTCTGCACTAATAGGCCAATCAGCACATAGGAAGGTGACGATGATGATGATGATGATGATGATGATATTGACAGTTAACATTTGCCAGTGACTAAGTGATTTTCATAGATTGCCTCATTTTATCCCTACAGTAATTGTTTAGAGTGGGTTCTATTATCCCCCCACACACACACCTTACATAACAAGGTAGGAACCTATGTGTAGTTAATGAC